ACTCTGCCTGCCTCCGAGAAACTCGATCTTCAAAATGTTTGGGATAGTTATGTGATATTTTTGGAAAATTGTTTTCAGAAACAAACAAAGAATAAAGGACATGTGATATGTAAAGAAGTATTCTGTTTGCAAGTTCTAGTAAAGCATTCAACTATGTTTAAGACTGAAATGTGTAAGATCCGGAAGAACGCCAATCATGAGTTGATGGTTAGAACTTAAAGAGAAAGAACGAGATCAAAGGATGTAATGAGACTTACATGCCTAGAGATGTTTGGGGCTCATGCAACTCTTAAAGTTGGATGTTTTTCTCTGAGTAGGGGAAATATTGAAGTAAAACTATAAGAAGTAAAAGGCACAAAGAAAAAAAGACTAGAATGTCCAACTCAGATATGAATGTCACACAAGTTATAAGATGTAGAGAATTTTGGTCAAGTCAGTGTAATTATCGAGAATTATGATTAGATTGTTGATCACTAGTTCTTCGAGATTGTGGTTAAAAGTACATAGCGCATCTCAAACATAATAAAAATTACATCAAGATTTCAAGATCACCGAACGACCACTACTGCTGTAAGAACGAGCCACCGACGCGTCAATGTCGTCACTCCCCTACCAAAGCCGGCTTGCGGTTGGGACAAGGTTTTGGTTGAATGGTGCATTTTTACCGAGGGGGGCGGTAAACGTGGTTACCACGGTTACCACAAAATTTCGAGCAAATTTTGAATGAATTTCAGACTAAATTTATAATTAAATTTTGAATTCAAATTCTTTCCAAATAGATATAGATAGCACTTGCACTTATATTTGTCATAAAAGAGCTACGAGCTCAGTGGAACGTTATCTATGCGCGTGCTATCAGGTGCTGCCATAATTTACTATACATTGAGCGTTTGAATTCAAAAAATTCAATTCTTTTTGCTCGAAATGCCCATTTATCGAGGGGACCGAAATATGCGGTAATTGTGGTAAACCTCGGAGTTTCGAGTGGTAACCAAAACCCTTGTTGGGAGTCATTTCTTAAAGACAAGGCACATCTGTTATCTCCGGAAATTTCCTGGTACCATTTTTTTTGCAAGAAAATTTCCGATCTATTCATCTTCAAACATGGTAGTACAACGAATACCAGAAATAACAGAAATTATAACCAGATCCGTAGACTACCTAGCGACGACTACAAACACTGAAGCGAGCCCTCCAAACCTTATGAGGGGGCCGGTGTATGGACCATGTGCAGGAAGTAGTTCATGGAGGATGGCCCACACCATTTTTAAAGTTTTATTAAACATTCCCTTGTGCTGGTACAAATTCGGTGACAAGTGTGTCATGGAATGGCCGAGCTCAATGTCTTATGATTGACCATGATTGGATGCACTGTGACCATGTGGAAACCACAGACACCATCAGTGAGGGAAAAAAAGATAAGCGGCAACACAGGTATGTTACAGTGTTGAAACAGATGAAATGTTCTTACTAGGGTCTTGAGCCATGCTTATTGGGTTAGAGGCGTATGGTTTTTTCTTCTTCCGTTGCAACACATGGGCATGCTTGCTCGTTATTCTAAAAGACTCCTACATAGTCCGCCAAGCTGGAGCACAAAGAATTCCACCAAGTCCATCTCGTACGCCACAGGCGTCCGACTCAGTTTATCATTGGATAGTGGCCCCAAGCAATCCATGACCTTTTCCATTACCTTCTTCTCGAGGTCGAGGATGAAGATGGCGCTGCTCCTGTACAGCACGAGCATGGATCCCATGTTGAAGTTAAACCACTTCTCTAAGGGCTGACTTAGCGGGTGATACTTCGGGTACGGCACTGCAGTTGGAATTCTGATCACAGTGCGAAGCCAAGCCGCAGGGGTGTCGTCGCCACCTTCTCTGCCTTGCTGCGTCCAAACAGTCACGTGCACGAGATACACGCAAGCGATAGAAAGCTTGCCGTCTCTGCTCACGCAGAGGAGCGGTGAGCCTCCGGCACGGACGGGGAGCTTCGTCATGGAGAAGCGCGCCATGCTCGTGCCCACCTCCGCGCTGAGTTTGTACAGCAGGTGGTGAACTCGATCAATGCACAGCCAGTGCGCCGCGCCCTGGTGAACAACGGCGGATCTCTCACCCACAAGGGAGATGTGGGAGCTGTCCAGGCACAGGGTGGGAGCGCTCCAGCTGTGCGTGGCGGCGGAGTAGGAGTTGAGATACACCCCAAGATTTTGTACAGTGGCCAGGAGCAGCTGCGAAAACGCGAAGCACCCTGGCAATGATGGCGGCTGCTTCCCATCGAGGTCGCCGCTATCGGCGGCTGTGATGATGGCGTAGCCGTAGACGGAGCACTCAAGAGGCGGAATAACATGGCGTTCGCCGGTGATAGGGTTGCAGAGGCCGAGGAGCTGTCTGGTCGTGGCCAATGTGCGGGGGACCAGCTGCATCAGGACGATGCCGCGACGCGCTGCTAGGGGCTGGGCGTAGTTGAAGGTGCCATCATCGTCGGCGACGAAGGAGGTGAGGGCACAGGCCTTGGGGCCAAGCGGCGACCCCGGCGCCGGCAGGAAGGTGGGTGCGAAGACCGAGGTGTGCTGCATCATCCGCGTATCCATCATCCTTCCACATCGATCGAAACTCGTCTGCTGAAAGAAGAAGCCGAGGAAGCGCGCGCGGTGCCCCACACCCTGGCCCGGGCACAGTCCGCGGAGGAAGGCCGGGTCGGTGAAGCGGCGCAGCCACCGTCGGCATGTCACGGCGAGCATAAAGAGGCCTTTGACGGTGCCCACGCGGGACAGGACCTGGAGGATGACGTCCTCCGGCAAGGCCGCGATGCCGTCCATGCTTCTCCGTGTCTTGGCAGCCGGGTCCGCCATGTTATGTTACCCGTGCACGGTCGATTAGCGCTTTGCGCTGATGACGGTTTGCTTCGGCCGTACGTACGTAGCTAGTTGGGATGATGGATCGATTGTTGCTGCTCCGAACCCCAGAGATTTCCAACTAGTACTACTCATCATGTAAGCAAAGCCAAGAACTCGATGGAAAGCACGATCGATTCCGATTCAAACACAGGCCGAAAGTTGTGGATTATATTCCAACACGCCATAATTCCTACTGTGCACGTGCAACACTCCATAATTCCTTCCTCAAAGTAAAACACAACTGTAACTCATTGGATCGGAATCGCTTAGAGCTACTTGCTCTATCCT